TAGCACCTTTCACAGAAATAAATTCASAAGGTGCAGTACATTCAGGGAAGGGGGGAGGGGGCAGTTAAGAAACACCGATTCAAGAAGACATACAAGGCAAACATGGGGGAACAGGTGAAACTGGTCATGCAGCAAACACAGTTACTAAAAACCACACATGGGAAGATGAGGGGGAAAAAAGCTTCAGAGACCCCTGCTATTAGATGAATGCCCATCCCTAGACATTGTTTCAAAATAAAAAAGCTCGATTTATTATTTATTTAAATACATAAAGATTTCAATAGAGAGCCTGTTTTCTAAAGTATATATATTTAGTTATTCCGCTTTTAAAAAATTCAGTTTGCTATGATAACTACATTTTTTTAATCTTAAAATCAAATTTAAAAAGTTAAATATCAGAAATGAGGTCTGTAATTCTCATGACTGATTCAYGTTGAAAATACCCCATCAGTGATGGTACATCCATCACTGATAACTGCGTTWCTGTTATAGATCATCTCTAAGTGTCGTAGCAGCGAGACTATAATAAAACAGGGTGTAACAGTAGAAACACTCAGTTTTAATTAACCTGTTATCTGGAGAAAACAAAGTTACTCAAGATAACGAGATAAAACTAGTTTGGTTCTCCGGGGGAAACAGAACAATTCTCGAGGAAATCACATCCAAATGAATAAAAGTCGGCACGTTGTTGTTTCTGTTTGAGCAAGATGGATTAAGAAGTACTTATACATTTTTTTTATAGCAGAGCCGTTTTTTTACTAATTATTACAGCCTACCAAAAATATTGTCAGTACCAATTCATTTTAAAGTATTTTAGGATGCTTGTGCCCCATTTTATTATTATTATTTTTCATGTGTGTGTTGAGCAGTTGTGTAAGCTAATGTTAAAACTGGGCAGTTTTATGAATTGCAAAGAAATTTGTCACCAGATGGGCTCGGGTCATTTGACCCATGCTTTTGTTTTGTTATTTTTTAGTTAGACATTTRCTGTCAGGTTAATGCTAACATGATYAAGATTTYTTACTGTTTTTCAATGGGAACAGTAAATACTAGTTTACCAAAAAGTCACAAACACACACCCACAGARACACTCATATGCATTCCAGCTGGCTGATTGCCCTTTATCTCGGTGGAAAGCCTTGCAGAGCCCCACAGGACCCTCCATAGAAATCAATTAACTGTTTCTTCCTCAGGTCAGTGTTGAGAAAGTGATTAGGCCTTGTTCAGGAACTCTTCACTCTATTAAATTGATTTAAAAAAATGCCAATTGAGTTAGCTTCCTGGAATAAAACAGATCCACATTGATTTTTAGTTTCTATGTTTCTGCTCCAATTATTGTCCAAAAGTTGCACTTTTTGTCCTWAACACCATGTCAAATCCAGAATCCTTTTTTTTTTTTATTATGCTGAAAAAATGATCACAGCTTAGAATTAATATACACTAGCTGGGACATTTGTTTGTCAATSACAATGTCTGTGTTTAAATGGTTTTGGGTTTCGGGGGTTTCTTTTCAGAAAAAAAAACAGTAAGAATGTTTTTATAATCTAATCAGATGGTTAATTGCATTCACTCRGAGTGTGTGCTGCTTCTGATCAGATGCTTAATGAAAAGCAGCAGAGCTTGTAGCCGTGAAATGCTGAGAACCACTGAGCCACYTAACAAAGATATAATAACACTTTCCTTCGCCAAAGGAGGGGGAAAAAATCACATGTAGAAAACAAAGGTGTTTAAAGGTGGCTAAAAAAAACAAAAATTATTGAAAAATTATTAGTAAAATTATTTTTCTGAACAATAAACAGAATACTTCCATCTCTGCAAATTAGGCAAAAAAAAAAATCAAAACTGCAGTCCAGGGGGACAGTGCAGCTGTCCAATCGTTTCTGTGACCTTATTGCACAGTCAGCACCCCATAAGACTGCAGTGTCACTGTCTTAAACATCTTGGTAATGCTGCACTTTCAGTTCATTTTAATTAGCCACATAAATCAACTCTTTGAACGGCACGCCACCTAAAAACAACGACAAAGACAGAARGGAAAATTGTGCAAGGTTTAGAACCTTAGAGACTCATGCTTTTAACATACAGTGGTTTGCAAAAGTATTCATACCCCTTGAACTTTTCCATATTTTGTCACATTACAACCACAAACATAAATAT